TTCTGAGATCAGAACACATTTTGGCTTTCAGCTAAAAGCTTTCAATGATTTCACAGTTCTGTAACACTGTAGATATTATTAGCACGTACAAATGGATGCCTAGCAGCATGTGTACTTCTTGAGCAGTGTTACAGTACCTGAGGATGTTGCTCTCAGAGGTCGAAGCATCTTAGTTGTCTCAGTGTTCAACAAATTCGGCCAATACAGAACAGCAATCAACAAAACCAATATAACATCGAGCTAAAAATAGAAAATGCTGGAAACACTCAGCAGGACTGGCAGTATTGGTAAAGAGAGAAACAGAGTTAATGTTTCAGGTCGATGATCTTTCATCAGCTCTAATGTTGAGAAATGTTGAACCTCTGTTAGTCTCCACAGATGCGGCCTGTCCTGCTGGGCACTTCCAGCATTTTCTGTTTCTATTTCAGATTCTGGCAACCACTACATATTGATTTTGTTATAACATAAATCTGTCGTGCTAATACAGTTGTACACAAACCAAGGGAAGTCACAATCAAACTGTACTTTATTAAATATGGGTGTGGTGCTGTTTAAAGTGCTAATAATCATTTCTCCCTATTGTTCTCTACTCTTCTTCCAATGCACCCACCAATTTTTGTTCTTCAGGGACTCCATCCAGGTCCTACCCATCTTTCAGCATTCTCTTTGTCAGTTTTGACTCTTGCTCTGCTGTAAATCTGGTGACGGAACCATCTGACTCTCAATCAATGTTTACAGCCTTTTCTCCTTCATCTCATCTGTCTGCATTTTTATGTTTCATACTGAGCATAGATGACACCTACAAGATCCCTGTTCAACCTTACAAAGATTCATCCAGCACAAATTGGGCTCACTCCAACTTCTGTGTCAGTTCTATCAACAAGAGCCCTTGCTAACAACCTATCTTTTTCTAATGCTTCCTGTACTCAGTTGTCCTCCAGATTCTTTGTTACCCAACTGTATTATTTTGTGTTAGTTTACTGCACTAATTATGGTGGGTGAATTAAATGTGGTCACCAATTTTGTAGTTCTGCTCCGATAATTCAAGGTGAGTATCCTGTACAAGACACCAGCTGATGTCTTGATTTTATTTCAAAATCAGCTGCTGGAGACAGGGTATAGGTTTTTATAATCATTTTATTTGAGCAACGCAATGACTCGGTTATTACAGTGAAACAAAACTCTAAAACATACAGAAAAATTGAGTATCTTATACCATTATCAACCTCTTATCTACATTACAATCTAATTTAGTGCACAGCAAATAAAACAGATGTATCTTTTGCATTATAGGTTAACATGCTAAGGTGTCCTTAACCCGTCCAGGGTATAAACAATTAATCTTGCCCTGGATATTGCTGTCTCTTCCTTTATCACTACTTGTCCTACATTGTCTCTTCGCAAGCCATTCTTAGAATGTTTTCATTCACATTGTCTCCTGTTTACACAAGTGCCTACAGATATGAGATTCTAAGCTCCATTAGATTCATTCCATTCAAAGTTAAAAGCCTGCCTTCTACTTCTAGTATGGAACTATCATTTAACTCTTAGAATCTAAAAATCTAAATTTTCTTCCAACAATATAATCAGGGATTCAAGAATACTCAACAGGAGAGTCTGTTGCACGTATAAGCTGGTCAGATCACACCTTGATGACTGTATCCTGTTCTGATCACAAGACACAAAGGAGATGTGCGAGAATGCTAGAGGGAGCGCAGAGACTGATCTCCATATCTGGGATCTGAAGTAACAGGAAAAACTGACTGCTCTTACAAAAGCAGAGGTTTCTTGGAGTTGATAATGAAGAGGGCTTAAAGATATAATGAAAAAGACAATCCAAAAGTCAACTTGCAACTAAATTAGAATGAGGATTCTAACTGGAAAACAATAGCTTTAGTGTTGATATCATGTGATTTTACTTCGTGGAAAAAATGGTCAACAATTCAATTGCAATTCTGGACATAATTGAAGAACCTAAGGTTATTGATGATGGGTGTATTCAGATTTGGCCAATGGTTTTCCTCATCGAAAAGTATCTGTGATCTTTTAAACACTAAAATAACGACTATCATTAGACTGAATCTACATCCATTGAACCTACAGGTGCACTACCTAGGGATATCTGGAAGCTGGCCATAACACTGCAGTTCTTGTTCAGTCACTACAGGCTGCAGCACTACTGTGAGCGTTTAATGTCAGTCAGGTGCAGGTTGATGTTAATCAGATAACTTCCATTGGTAGTTTGCAAAGCATTGTTCAAATCAAATGGAGGGAGTACTGGACACCATGTGGAACATTTAAAGGATATTTTAAAGCTGCTGAAACTATAGGAGTCCCATGTGCCTTTCACACAACTGGAAACGCGCTAATATTCCAAATTGCTCAGTCAAAAGAGAACATTCTGAGCTAGACAGCACAGCTGAATGGGCTGGCAAACATGGATTTAGGGAAAAAATGTCTCAATCATACTGGCCGATATTTTAACTCGATAAATACCTCTTGCTTCACAACTGCAAGTACCTTGGGACAAAGCCCACATGTTTGCTGCTGCTGGTGATATTTATGCATATTTGGTGGCAGATTGGTCATTGCTAAATAAATAAATGCTTTCTTCAAAAAATAGTCACTGACAGCAATTTGATGAATACGCCAGGGGAGTAACTTTAACCAATTTCTCTCAGGAGGAAACTGGCATGCTTAGAGCACCGCAAAAGATTTTCCTCTGCATTGGCATTTCAATTGGGAAAGGGACGTTTCTAAAACTTAATTCATTTGAAAAATACATGCCACTCCTTTCTCATGGACAATGGGGGCACTATTGGTGAGATGCATTAATCAGGATAGCTATTTGCAACAGCCTTCCCAATGAGTCGTTATGGCATCGAACTGAATTTGGTCACTTCATAACTTGGTCTGTGAGCTGCCAATGTGCTCCCTAAAGGGCAATGCCTTAGCCCATTAATAAGAATGAGGTTGCAGAGTACTTGGAAGTGCACAGTAAAATAGGGCTGAGTCAGCACAGCTTCGTCAAGGGGGAGTGATGCCTGACAAATTTGTTAGAATTCTTTGAGGAGATAACAAGCATGTTAGACAAAATAGAGATCACTGATGTGATCTATTTGGATTCTAGAAGGACTTTAACAAGGCACTGCACAGGAGGCTGCTAAATAAGATAAGAGCCCATGGTGTTAGGGCAAGGTACTGGCAGGGACAGACAATTGACTGCATGGCAGAAGGCAGAGAGTAGGAATAAAGGGGTATTTTTCAGGATAGCAGCTGGTGGCTAGTGGAGTTCTGCTACTCATGTTATGCATTAATGATCTAGATGAAGGAACTGAGGATATTGTTGCTAAGTTTGCAAATGACGCAGAGCTAGGTCTAGGAACAGGTAGTGTTGAGGAGGAGGGAAAGCTACAGAAGGATTTGGACAGTTAGGAGAGTGGGAAAAGAAGAGGCAGATGGAATATAATGTGGGAAAGTGTGAGGTTATACATTTGTTAAAAAAAATAAAAGGCATAGACTATTTGATAAATGGGGAAAGGTTTCAGAAATCTGAAGCACAAAAGGACTTGGGAGTTCTAGATCAAGATTCTGTTAAGGTCAACATACAGGTTCAGTTGGCAGTTAGAAGGGCAAAAACAATATTAGCATTCATTTCGAAAGGGCTAGAATACAACAGCAGAGATATGCTGCTGAGGCTGTATAAGGCCCTAGACAGACGACAGTTGGAATATTGTGAATTGTTTTGGGCCCCTATCCAAAAAAGGCATTGGAGGGAGTCCAGAGGAGGTTTACAAGAAAGATCCTGGGGATGAAGGTCTTGTCATGTAAGGAGTGGTTGAGGACTCTGGGTCTATACTCAATGGAGTTTACAAGGATGAGGACAGGGGAGAGATCTGATTGAAATTTACAGAATACTAAGATGTCAGGATAGAATGGATGTGGAGAAGATATTTCCACTAGTAGGAGAGACTAGGACCCAAGGGCACAACCTCGGATTGAAGAGATGACCCTTTAGAACTGAAATGAGGAGGAATTTCTTCAGCCAGAGCGTGGTGAATCTGTGGAGGCCAAGTCATTAAGTATATTTAAGACAGAGGTAGATCATTGATTAGTAAGGGGATCAAAGGTTACATGGAGAAGGCACATAATGAGTTGAGAAATATATCAGCCATGATCGAATGGTGGAGCAGACTTGATGGGCTGAATAGCCTAATTCTGCTCCAATATCTTACGGTGTTACGATGTTCCACAGGCTGCATATATTCACACACAATAACATTTCTGTGGTGCAATAGTTATCATGTTGCTTCACACATGTTTAAAACATGGCAAAAACATTGTGAAGGTCTTGTGATGCAAGTGGTAATTTCCCTACCTCTGCGCCAAATTTTTCGGGTTAAAGTCCTACCTCAGGGCGTATTGGCTCAGTAAGTGTGTCATAACATGTGAAAACTGGTTGATTTAAAAAAAAATCTCACACTCAGGACCCTGTTATGAATTTCTCCAGCATTCATTGTATTTGTTTCAAGTCTCCAGTATCCAAGGTACTTTACTCTTATTCGAGTGTCATATTGAGAAGTCTGGATATTCAAGACTTTACAATGAGGAATGTTGGGTGTTTCATAAAATGTTATAGTGAAGAGTGTGAGATATATTTCAATGGGAAATGTTGGGTGAGTGTAAAGTAAATAAGAAGGGATTATAGCTATGGATAAATCCAGAGGTGTGAGGAAATGAGAGTACATGTGCAAATTACATGGGCTGAAATAATTTCTGAAAGTTTATATTTTGTTTGTTAATACAGATTCACTGCTCACAGTTATGGTTTTCATGGTTATTATGCAATTTTATTAGGAATGAGATAAAGAGCTCAGGCTGGAACTGACTTGAGTTCCTTCTCACTGCTCACTGTACATATCTACTACTCTAGAGTATGATTGCACTGTCTCAGTAAATAGGGAGTGCATGATGTGTATCCTTCTTTTCTTTATGTGCAGGAGCCAATTTCACACTGACAGAACTGGGAATCTGTGAGCCCTCCCCTCACCGCAGCACTGCTTATTGTCCAGACATGGGGCTCCTCCATCGTGGATATTCCCTGAGCGACGCTGACTCTGACACAGAAGGTGCCATTTCTCCAGAGCATGCTATTAGGTTATGGGGGAGGGGCATCAAATCCAGACGAAGCTCAGGGCTGTCCAGTCGAGAGAATTCAGCCCTCACATTGACTGATTCAGAGAACGAAAAGGATTCTGATGAGGAAGCAGGTATGTGCATTTAAGAGCTGGTAAAAGCACAGCCTTCAGTCTTGCCACCACATTGAAGTGGGAAGTTGCTGCTCATTGTAGTTTTGACTGTTTTTACTGCAGTGGTACAGTAAGCAGGATAAGTTCGCAAGCAATTCAATTTTATACTGACTTACAAAAGGGCTTATGTCCCTGATACTTTAGAAGGCCTGTTCTTATTTCATGGCTTAGGTCTTCAGGAAGTTTCGGGAGTGGCAGAATGAGATAATGAACATATATGATAAAGCCATGACACTAGTGTCTTACCATGGCTCAATATCCAGTTTAGTGGCTGGAGATTTGAACTGAATAACTCATATTTCTGAATATTCTTCATAATTTCCAAAAATACATAAAACATAGCCAGTGCACAATGACTGGTCTAACACATCTCTTGGCAAACAATCATTGACTCACTGACTTGTAGCAACTTAGTTGACTGTGCGATCAAGTAGTAAGGTCATATTGCTATACTTTTATTAGAGGGCCACATTTTGACCCTTTCATTTAATAATCTTTATATGACAACAGTAAAAAGCGTTTGAGCTGCAATAAGAGTACCAGGTTTTACTCAGCCAGCAGGTTTCCTGCTTCCACTTGTGAATGTATTAGCACAACATATGGCTGATTTATATGCTAACACCTAAGTTTATTCTATTTGCTGTAGGGGAAGCTAATCATTAAAGCAGCATTTGATTATGATTTGATTATTGTTGGTTGTGTTTTTTAACATTCGGCTGGTCACTTCTTTGTGATTTTGAGTGTTTTCTCCTTTACGTATGTATCCGGTTTTAGCCCCCAAACATACCAATATTGACTTTGTGGAAAAAATGCAGGAGCTGATTGTATTTATAACAATAGTATTCAAGAGGTAGGGCTGTTTACTCTGACCTGGTAGTGATAGCATTGAGATTTTTGGTGGATAAAAGGATTGGACTGTGTATTGTGAATAGGTTATTAAAGGTAGCTAAGAACTGTAAGACAATATGCCACACATAGAAAATACTGTATGTTAATCAAACATAAAGTATTTTTTTCACAGAATTACTGGTTCCTGTGTAAAAAAAAATCAAAACACACAATGGGTACAGTTATATCATAATACTTTGACAGCAACTTGACAAGTTCCTGAATGAACAGCATGTTTCTATCAATAAACATAAAAGTCGCTATATAACTGCAAAGGGACATTAGAGCATGGTCTGATAGGTTTGAGGTTCTTTACCCATTCATTTTTTTCATTTGTTGGGAGGCACATGCAATAATATGTTTTACAAGACTCTGATGTATTATGGCAGAACTGGGAACAAGATCAATTTTTAAAGCCTTTGATATGAATGTAAATCTTTAGTGTAAGATTCAAGTCAACATTGATATAATTTCTATTGTTAGTTGAGCTTGCTGAGGTTCATCTGGCCATCTGATGCTTCTTTTAACCAGTATAGCTGCCTCAGACATTAATATGGATCATATGGATCAAACAAATGTAGGACAAATGGGTATGAACAAACCACATATGTGTTTTTATTTCCAAGATTTATGCAGCACAAAAGAAGGATCCATCTTTCCTGGACTAACATTCTGAGAGAGCAATCGATTAGTCCCCACTGCTTTGTTCTTTACTCATAGTCTTGTAAATATTTCATTGTTAAGTGTATATCCAACATATTTTTGGAAGTTCTATTGAATCAGCTTCCACTTTCCGTTCAGGCTGTTCATTCGAGATTGTCATTGGTTGGAGAGTAAAATAGATTTTCCTCAAATTTTATATGTTTCCTTCAGTTATTGATCCTCTTCACAGTAGAAATGATTTCACTTTATATATTCGGGTAAAATCCCTTTTAATTTGGAGTAACTTAAATATTATTTTATGTAAGCGTATTAAATCAAAAGGGCAAGGAAGAAGCTGGGCGAGGAGATGTGATCGCAGCGAACCCATCTTCATGATTCACCTTGTGAACTGCCTTTTCCGTCAAAATGCATTCCACTGGCCATCTGTTTTGTGGTTGGAGCTTCCTAGCCCCATCAGGCAGAAATAGACAAGAAAAGTGAAAAGCCCAATTATGTGGTCAGATGTCCTACCTCTGTTCTGTTGTCCCCTATATTCCAGTAGTGGTGGTTGTGCGGGTGTTGGGACGGCTCTGCACAGTTTCCCAAACTTGCCCGCAATTAATGTAAAGCCAATTAAACTCACTATGGGCTTCTTATGTTTTCGAATATTTCAGGACAGAAACAAACGTTTAAGTCACTGTCTGTGTCAGACCAACTGAATGAGCGTGAGCACCATGCCCGTGGCAAATCAGGGAAGCAGAAGGAATTGAAAAAAGGGAAATGAAAATACTTTTCAATGTTTAAATCACATGGGTGTCATTGCAGCAGCCCATCAGAAGTCAGTGGAGGGGCTGGAATGAAGAATCTTGCCAATTCAGGTCATCATCACCTCCTCGGCATAATGTAGACATTACAAGCAGTGGGCATAATCATGTAGACTCCACCTAAGCAACAGGAAGTCTGCAGCTGGAAATAGATGCTGCAGCCTCAGTGTTTTAGGCTGTAGAGATAAAGCAAACCAACCCGCACATGAAGGACAAAACATTGGGCCTCAAGAGTCCAGAATAGACTAAAGGGAGTCACATAGGTGAAAGGTGCATTAATGGAAGCACAGGATCTATAGTCAGATGCAAGTGATATAACTAGAAGAAGCCTGTGACTGTGGGTGCTTTCATCAGTGTGGATCGAAATAGCAGCTCACAGGCAGTATACACCAGTGCTTCACCCAGATGACAGATGCCCTCTTTACCAATGCTGAACAACACACCAGCCTCCCGATTGATGAGACAACACAGGATCGGGGTATTGGATTTGGTGCTTGGTGCAGTCACCTAATGTCCTGCATTACCTTTCAGCATTAGTGTTAGGCAATGTGTTAGTCTTCTGTGCTCCATTACTTGGCGCACCAGAAAGATAAGGACTTTGAGGGTGGTGAGGCAAAGGACAGGTCACTGGGGCAGGGGCAGGAAGTGAGACAGGAGGAGGAACTAGAGGCAGACAGAGATTTCACTGAACAAAAAGGTGTCCCTAATGCATGATAACGTGGCCTCTGCTTTCTGCCCTGCAGAAGGAAGACTTCCTTCCTCTCTTCATGGATGTAGGTCTTGGGTTCCCCGTGACATCTCAGGTCGATATAGTTCAGCACAACCAGGAATCTTGGTGATGGCTGCCTTCGGTGTTTGAAACTCGCCTCCATTCCTGATTCCATTAGCTTTAATAAGACAGGAAACCTGTCTCCACAAAATTTAAGGGTTCGTCTTAAGGAAAGCAAGGAACTCAGTCACTGAGTTTCTGACACAAAATTATATGTGACTCCTCATTTCTGTCTTCAAGAGGCAAATCATGACCTTGTCTACTGTTGCACACATTGTTTCTAATCATTCTTCTGCAGCTTTTGTTACAATTGCTGTACCAATACCATGATGGAGCAAAACCTCTCACCAGAAGTCACTGTTCACTTGGCTATCATGCAAGCCTTTGCTGGTGTTATAAGTATTTTTAGAAGTCCAGCCATGCAGCAATGGATAATTGTGCAACACTTCAACATACTTTACCCTCAGTACGAGTTGCTGCTGTCTTATTGTTAATGGGGATTTGCCTGCCTCTGTCTCTATTTCATTAGGCTGTATTGGTTGTCGGTGCAGAATTATTTGTCTTCATGAAAATTCCAGGGGATGACAAACTTCTACCCACAAGTGGCTGGTAGCCTTATTAAAAATAGAGGGAGAGGAATGTGGTTTTCTCATTGTGAAACGGGGCTTGATTACCACAGCATAAATGGGACACCATTAACATTGTTCCTAGGAACAAAAGCTGTGTACAGAGCTCCTGGAAGGAAAGCTTAAAGTTGTCTAAGTGTGAGCACGAGCCTCCTGATTTGGCAATGAGTGGCTCAGTGCGAGCAGGATTATGTTGTACAAACATAAGTTTGTCTTAATCAGTGGGGAAGCTTTCTGTCACACTCGGAATGCAGATCTTAACCCATGATATTCACGCTGGTGAACCTATTCTGACACATTTCAGCAACAGATATTACTTCTTGCAGTCTCATATGGTCTTGTTAGCCTAGTAAGATGAAAATGTGGTTTAGGAAGCAAGTCCCTATTTGAATTCTATTGGAAATGTTATCCAATACTGTGCCAGGCAATTGAAAGTGGTCTCATAGGTGTCAGCAGTTATGCACAAAAGAAATTGCAAATAATGACAAATGAAAACTAGGGATTTATAATTGGATGGATTTGCTTGTACTGAGTTCCTATGCTGTTTCATTTTCTTTTTAAATGAACATGTTCCTTTGTTCCTTCTTATCATGAGACTTTTTTTCATATTACAAATTGTTCCAAACACTTTGCATGCCTGACTGATGGTCCTGCTGTCAAGAAATTTTGTTGTAATGACACACTAAAGGAACAATCTTTCACAATTGGACTATGTGCCACATAATTCTTTGTCCCTGACTGTATCTTGTTACTCAGCTTGTTTCACAATCTGGCAATGTCAATAACGGTGTGTACCTTGCAGGTCAATATTATCTGTCTCAATCTATGCTTCTCCACATAGCCTTATCAATGACTGTGCAGTTTGTTGAGTAGCCCTATAAGTGTATACTTCTGTCTCACCACCCAGCTCCACAATAACAGTGGGCACATTCCTGGCTTGCCTTATACAGGCAAGCATTTCATCATTGGACTGTTCATGGCAGCATACATGTTGGTGGCCAGCCCAGTTATTCCATCAGTAAATACTCTCAGTGCATATCTGCCAATTGGACCGTGGATCTCATTGTCATGTTGACCTCGAATCTCATTGCTTGGCCTTGCACATCTAATTATGCGCGAGCCATATCGATTTCAATACCAAGACCTGCCTCTACCAATATATATGCCCTTTAACCTTGTGTTCATTATCTGTCAATATTTAGTACACCTTGC